CCAACAATCATGCTACTCGTATAATTTGCAAAAATGCACAAAACATTTTTATGCCTAGTTTCAGCTTCTGAACTCAAAACTTTCAGTGGGATTGGATACCAAGCGTCAAGAATAAATTAGAAGAACTGTTAAAATTCACTCCTTCAAGCCCGAAAAATGCTTGTATGGCAACGTTAGTTAGACAATTAGGAAAAAGCTGCTGCACATCAGCATCATTCAACGACGTCTGGAGAACTACGATCATTCGATGCATTCTTTCACACCAGAAAAACAAGTCACGCTATAAAAGAACTTCTCCGCGTTAGTATAATCACAATATAACCGTAGATGTAGAAATCAACGATTTAAAAGTCTAACCATTTGATTGGACATCTAATGGTGAGAGGAGATAGCAAATGGTGAACTCAGTACTCGTCACCTTCGTTTACCTACTTGAAAAACTTCTAACTGGAGAAAATCTTTCGAATAAAGGCGACTTCCGTAAGCAGAAGGGAGTATCAATCAATGCTATTCAGCGCACTATCAAATTAACGCTGTTAGAATAGTTAGATAGACAGGTAGCAATCAAAATCTGAAGTTCGTCTTTACTTTTTTCCATTTTTTTGGTGCAGATAAAGGATCAGAAATAAGCCCGCTACGAGACGAGTTTTAGTGACAAGATAAAACCAGCAGCCCAAATCGTTCAGCATTAAACTAAATGATCTTCAAAGTGAGCAATACTAAATTGAGCAAAAACAGTCTCAATATATCTCATAATTATTATTTCGGCCAACAGATAATCATTATTTCAGCCACGCATGTCAGTGGTCTGTCAATGAGGGCTGACTTATAGAGCCCGATACACGTGTTTCGATCTTGCGATCTCGTCAGTCGGGCAGTTACCCTTTCTCGTCTTTTGCTAAGAAAAAGAGACGAAAAAGAAATTTGAGCAGTGGTCTTAAGAAAACACTCGAAATGAAATTTATGATTTGTTGAGTATACCAGCAAAGAGCAATCGAGTGTACGACACTCTATGTTTGGTGAGTTTTTCACTGGACTTAGAGTGAGTTTTTCACTGGACTTTTTCACTGGACCTGGACAAGTTCGTCGTCGCCAACTCTTAGTGTGGGGACTGGAGCTCCCACAGAGATTAGCAAAAGACGAGAAAGGGTAAACTGCCCGACTGACGAGATCGCAAGATCGAAACACGTGTATCGGGCTCTATAAGTCAGCCCTCATTGACAGAAAGCTGACATGCGTGGCTTAAATAATGATTATCAGGCAATTTCATTTGACTTAGAGTGTAAATTGTTCGTCTTCGCTAACTCTTAGTGTGGAAGCTGGAGAACACGCAGAGGATTGACTAAAAAGACTGAAAGATGACGGGTTCTGCCCGACTGACGAGACTGCAAGGACGAAGCACGTGTATCGGGCTGTACAAGAGCCCAATACCAGTCCAAATGACATGTTGGCTCAAATAATAATTGAGAAATATTATACCTTCAATTCGAGTGCTTTCTTAAGACCACGCTCAAATATCAATAGATCCTTTCATTGTTATCTGAGCCAACTTGTCATGTGGTCTGGTAAAGGCTCTTGCTTCACATGTTTCGTCCTTACAGATTCGTCAGTCGAGCAGAACCCGTCATCTTTTGATATTTTTATAGTCATTCTGTTGGTGTATCGGTGTATCGGTTAACTAGTGTATCGCGTATTAGTGTATGGGGCTGTACAAGAACCCTTACCAGACCACATGACATGTTGGCTCAAATAATAATTATGAAATATAATGAAATTTGAGCGTGGTCTTAAGAAAACACTCGAAATAAAGGTAGAACTAATTCAATCTGTAGAATTTTACCAGCAATACTCAATACCTCAACTAACGAAACTCTGTCCTATGGGTAATGTTTTATAAAATTTTCCTGTTTTCCTGTGCTTATTTGGGTATTAGTAACGATGAACTATTATGAAGCTATAAGGATTTTGGAGCATGGCACTTATTCCGAGAAATTTCTGTTATTTATTTGAATATTTTACGATAAAATCTGCATATTCCTTGTATATGAGAGAGCAAGTGGTGCAATGGTTAGAAGTGCTCCGTGTCGCAAACGTGGTGGATTGTTCGATCCCGCGTTCAAGGCTTCCGAAGGCTTCCATCTTTTCGGCGTCAGTGAACTGGTACCAGACTTGTCTGAAAGGATTGCAGCATCGACTCGATAGATCGGCAGGCCACCCGCCAGTCACTGTGAAAGCTAGATATGCATTCAGTCACCTCAAGCGATGTTGAAAATTGAAAACGAATGTATGGGGAATCCCTCAGGGATTGATTGACGCCAAGAGCTTTATCGCTTATTCATTTCATACATATATGTGTATATATATTATATATGTATATACCTATATATACACATATATACATATATATATGTATGATATATATATATATGCTCGTACATATATATATGTGTATTCACAACTAAAATCTGTCATCCTGCGGATTTATCAGAACCGTGGTCGAATCGATAAGCTTAGGCTTAGGTTTAGAGGAAATAATACGCCTCCGAACGAAGACTCGAATGGAAGGAAAGTCCCATTCGTCGTCGAGTTCTTTTCAAATGAGATTAGTACAGCTATAAAACGCTGTTTGAAAAGGGCTGGTTTTGAGCAATCGGCGGCCACTACTGAAATACCATCGAACACTTTAAGACGCCAACTAGTTCGCAACCGCTTATATGACCGTCTCTGTATAACGAAAGATTGTAAAATATGTCCTAACGTCAGAGTCGGTGATTGCATGAGCGTTGTACAGTCTACCTAATCTCTTGCAAAGTCTGTAGCGATAAATATATTGGCGAAACGGGTAGGCCGCTCTATGCTCGCATAGAAGAACACCTAGCTGACAAACACCTAAATAGACGGAACACCCCGCTAGGGATGCATAGAGAACAGAAACACGTAGGATTTGATTTTGAGATCGAAGTCACCATCCTTCGCAGGAACAAAAAACATTAGCGCGAAAGATCTTGGAGGCGTTCCGGATTAATACGACCAACCAACCATAAACCGCAAGGAGGAATGCTTCTTTATCACTCGAGATTCGAGTCATTATATAAGACTGTTGTTTTGAATGGGTAAGGTGCATTACGAGCCTATGTGATCTCTTCCAGTGATCTCCACTTGAGTCATTCAGTGGAACACATATAATATAGCGGTGAGTATGTTGAGAGTTGATTTTGTGCTTGATGCGACTGAAATCTAGGTCTGGTGATTTTTTCTAAAGGAGTAATGTAGGTGTTTGACTGATTGGACTGCGGACAATTTGACCTTTCCAGGCGCTGAAGAGGGAGAACTGCCGAAACGTCAGCTGTCGAATAAAGTTTATTGTGAAACCTCGTGTTTGGCTTAATGAAGAAAATCACGAATCGATAAGCATGACGCGGTTAGTGCTCTCTCCGTCTGCTCTCTGCGTCACCCTCTCTGCATCTCTGCCCGCGTTGGGTGGGGCGTTCAGCCACCACCCTTGTATAAAAGGCCACATCGAGAGCGCCTGCAGCAAGCGGACTCGACGCTACGGCTAAGGTTCGGCTTCCATTTCTACGGGGCTCCCGAGCTCTATTTGGCTCCGCGTATTCGCCACTATACCCACACACTTAGTGGTACTCCCAATAAGCCAAGCAAACTACAGAGTTGCTACAATAAGCGATGCATTAGGCCAAATGCCGCTTTCAAGCACACCGAAACGCTGAACGGCATCCAAGCAACATCCGAATGAGATTCACCACCCTAAAGAGAAAGGATTAATTCATTATGGACCGAAAGCCAGGACACCGTTATAGGAAGCGGTGTGAAAAGAACTACTAAGAAGGACGAAAAGCTCCCAAGAGCAGAGTCGTCCTGGAAAAATGGACGCACTCAAATCCCATCATACCGGACGAACGTTGGCGAACCAGCAACCAGACACACCAGCCGAACGAGACAGCAACACAACCAAACAGCCGAACGACGCAGGCCACCACAGCCGAGCTGTCTCAACCAAGAACGGTGCGTTAGATTTCAATCAGTTTGTTTAACTATTGGGTACCGCTATTGATAAGAAGCAGCGCCTCGCTGAGTTTTCGCACAGTGGTCGGCTAGATCGACCTCCAGATGAAGCGCGTTCTCAGTTCATATGTCATAGTTTCGTAATGCTATTCACAACTTTATTGTCATTAGTGGGAATGAGTAGTAGAATAAGAGAATTAATGAGGCAGTTTCAGCTGAAGCAAGCTGAAAAAATTATCATGAGACAATGAAATGTTTGTCAAGACTGATGGTGCGCACTGCATGCGATGCCATTTTATCGAAAACCTCATTAAAATTCGATTATTGAAGTACTTTTTACTTTATTCAATATGGTTGACCCATAATCATAGTATTTTTTCATTGTACGAAATCCCAACTGACTAGATTTCACCTATCAAGCAATTTTTGGAAGCACTAAAAGAAGCAGAAAAAGCGTCTTACCCAAGAGCTTAAATTAGGGTGCGACATCGAAAGTGATCCAGTTTTTCGAAATCTAATGTTCTTTTAGTTATAACAGCGCCACAAGGAGTCCTTTCTAGAAACCAAGTACACTGTTGAAATTTCTAAGATTTGTCCTATCTAATGATTACAAATTGATTACGAAAAAAAACGTTTCCGGCGGAAAATGCTTGAAGTTGAAAGAAAATCTTATTTTGAACTGTTACAGCGCAAAAACAGGCCTCTCAAGAAATAGAATACGTCGTTTCAAATTTACTTGACATTATTTATCGAATAGTTGCTAAGAAGTCTTGCGAGATCAAAAATACGTTTTATCAAGGGGGTCGAAGAGGGTCGAGATAACGGAAAGAAAGCCGCCATATCTCTATCCCGTCTTCGTATACCATAGCTATGAGTAAAGAATTTGAATGAAATTACGCATTGATATGAGATGGGAATGTGAAATGCGCTATTAATCAAGAAATTGCCTAAGAGAATTGAGTGGTGAGCAAAAATACGATCTTTGACGGGAGTCGACCCCGTGTTTCATCTATACCGGGGACGCGTGCTGCCACTACACCACCAAGGTACATTCGCGCCACATTCTTCAATATCCTATGTTAGCTGTCAGCCACCAATCTTTAACAGGTTTAGTCGGGTATGCGATTTCGCTTCATAAACCCAGTTGAGCTGGAAGTTACTGTTAGATGTGATACTCGAGACTTATAGTATCTTTATTGGTTTTTCGCTGGGTTATGATATTTCATAGCTTCCTAGAAGAGTAGAGTAGTGAGCAAAAATACCAAAATGATGGTAGAGCGAATGTACCTCGGTGGTGTAGTGGTAGCATGCGTCCTCGGTATAGATGAAACGTGGGTTCGACTCCCGTCTGACGTCGTATTTTTGCTCGCCACTCCAGCTCTCTTAGGAAGCTATGAAACATCATGACACAGCAAAAAAGCAGTAAAATACTAGAATTCTCAAGAATTATTGCGAATTATCAATGAAGTGGGATCGCATGCAATAAGCAGCACTATTTTTTGATGAACTATTTATTGTTTAAAATTTTCAGTCAGTGTAGTGAATTTAATTTACTTCATGCCATAGATTATATGAAAACTAAAAGCAGTAAAAGATGTATTTGATTGAGTTGTGGGTAGGTACAAAAAAAAATGTCATAGAAATGTTTGGCAAAGGTTCTAGATATAGCCTTTTCGTAAATACTTTGTTTTTCTCTTCGAAAATGTGGATTAATATAGAGCAATTACGTTATTTCTAATAGAAATAACCCTATCGAGGTCTGTTTTATAATATTTGACTATTTATTGACATAGGAATCCCATCTGTTGACAAAAAAATTATAAACTTTTTTAGAAAACTACAGGATTAACCTTAAAGCAGGCGCCGACACCCTTTCTTCGTAACCGTCGGAGGCACCCGCCAGACGAAAATGGCGCCGTCCGTAAGGGGATAATCATCCCTACGACGTATTACGTGGATTCTGGATGCTTCCAGCTTTCACTTTGCTTGATTTGATTCTCAAGTGACAGTTGATTTTCGGTTGATCTCAGTTGCATATTGTTCACGCATATTGGTTTTTTGAGATAAATTGTTGTTGATCCAAATCTGTTGTACTAGTGTTGTAGCGTAGAAAACAGTGGTGGCAAAACAGGCGTCGGTAGTGCAATTGGTTAAGCACCCGCTCGCGGAAAGGATAAAATACGGGTTCGAGTCCCGTCTGACGTCTTTGTTTTGCACATCGTTCAAAATCATTGGGTATTTATGTAACAATCACAACACCGCTGAAAGCGGTTTAATGAAAAGAATTCTGTTCGACTATACATAAGTTGTTGTTGTTGTTGTTGAATAAATATTCTAAGCATAAACTCTTCACCATCAATGAAATGTTTGATATATGATTCAATAGTTTGCAACATTCTCAAAGAACTAATCGTGAAACCGATGGAAGCGAACTTCATTGAGGCTTACTCCGGTTACATATTAAAACCCTATCCATCATATCAGTCCTTTGATGTAGACCATGTGTTACCAAGTTATATTTTCATAAGAAAGGCAACAGAATTAAATATTATGGTTGGAGTATAATCCTTTCCAACGACATAAGTTGCGTATTTGAAAGTGGTGGTTTTTGAAAAACGCGGCCCATTCCTCATGTTAAAAATACATAACTCTCTAGAAAACTATCTACCTTTTCGTAGCGATGGAATTACCAAAAAAAAAAAAAATTGAAAACGTTACTGATATGCTCCAAGAAAATCCCGCTGGTGAGAAACAGGTAATCTAGTCCAAAAGTAAAACGATGAACATTCTAGCAGTTATTGGAGTGTTCAACGAAGGCTTTTCTAGAAAACAAACTAAGTACCAAAATCTATTCTTCCCAAGGTAAGGGATAAAAAACATAAATAAATAACATAAATATGACATAAATAAGACATCAAATGTCACATAGCAATTGAAAATATGTTGCCTTTGCGACAATGTGGGTATCTAGTCGAAACACAAGGAATTTCTAGGCACATGACTGTTGCGTTTACCAAAAAAAAAAACATAGGAGTCTCTTTAGTGAGAATCCATCATTTCGTAATAGTAATGATTTGGACTACCTAAACTGAGTAACCTTTTTATTCTATACGACCTGTCTTCAAATTTTATTGCGCGGTTCCAATACTTCTTACATTCAATTCGTCTCCTCGCAATTTTCGCTTGCTTGATAATTTCGTTCTCGTCAAAACATTGTATATTACTAATCAGGCAAATCTCCTTGCAATCTCGAGGGTAGCCAGGCTGGAACGTTCGCCGATTGATTATCCCAAAGAAGGTCACGCGGTGCCCAAAGGGTTAAATTTTTGCGTACTTTCGGCAAACAGTAAGACTATCCGCAAGACAGCGAACACTCTCAAAATCACTTAAGAATTCAAGAGTACCCAAAAACTTAGGAAGCCGAGATAAACGGTCCAGTAGTAAAAGTGCCGACTGAAGATAAGGGACAGCACGGATGCATCCCCAAACTGGAAAAGGCCAAAGTGGACATCAAGAACAAAATAGTAAACGCCAACCATGGGTTGTGTAGTTTCTCTGATTCATATCGAGATTTCAAGAGCGAGGAGTGATACACTTACGCTCATATCAATTGCTTCATCATTTATCGTAATCCTCGCCTTATTTGCCGTTATTACACTGCTATATTATTGTGATATTATTATAACTGTTTTATTTTGTAAGTCGTTTGCTGTTTGTAATGGCGATCAACACAATTCATTATTCGTATAAACGTATTATCACTTAGGACACTCGTACTGTCACATTATCAAAACCCATGTGGCAGGAAGGATTCACACAATCAATCGAGCAAATGGCATTTTACTTGCATTCAACTTACAAAACACAAGCATTCGCCACTAAACGCTTAGAATTAGTGGTGCATCGATTGGGGCATAGCAAACTATCGAACAATATGCAGTACTAATTACGATTATAATAAAACTTTTCTTCGAAATACCTCACACAATCGAGCTCCCTTCCCACTTTGGTCCACAGCGTGAAGTGCACCACCCTCAGTACCAACGATAAGCGTCGAATCATAAGCCGATGCTGTTTGCACCGCGTTCACCTGGGAGATCATTTTTTCTCATAGAAACTGGCAAAATGTCAAAAACTTCAGCACTTCTTCAGTAGAATATTGTTTTTTTAAACTTGATGGTATGTGATCGTCATCGTTCCCCGATTGTTTTTTCGAGCCGGTAACTAAACGTTTATCTATTTTTTTCAATATTCACCAATGCATTGTCTGTGAGAAAAGCAAACTGAAAACGAACTTGTTAATTTTCAAACATGTTGCGGTTGGATTTCCTGCGATGTTGTACTCTGCGCACTTCTTTGCAGAGTTTTTACCCCCAAACGTATAAACATAGCACTTCACATCCTTAAATGGAAGACTAAAATTAGTCGCTTAGCATCTTAAATTCAGAGCAAGACAGGATTTACGTCGAGTACAACGAAAAGAGTTCTGCCATCTCCACTCCATTGCAAGAATTTCACTTTGTTCTTCAACGTCTCAATATCAAATTCTGCAATAGTTGACGATTTTCATTGATTTAATAATGTATATAATACGAGGAATTGCAAAATTGTTATGTAATGTTGTATTAATATATACCAATTTCTCGTACTTTATTTTTCTGCAGTTATTTTTATAACTAATTGTATTGTAGACTAATTCAAAAAGTAATCTAGCCCAAAAACCAGCAAATTATTGAATTTCACTGATTCCCTTCTTACAATTATCAAAGCAACTTTCTTTGGAATACGATATCAGAAGGGTCCACCTGCATTCTGCTCCGGAGACAATACATTAAGCAGTCCGTCAGACCAAGCGGTGGCCACAAGAATTTGTGAAGGATGCCAAGCGAGCGCTAACACCGAATATTTCCGCTGCACAATAAGATCTTCCAATCGAACACCCTGAATGAGACGTGCTCTTATGCTTTTCGTTTATCGAGAATTTCGAGCAAGCCTTACACAACTATTTGGAAGGATCACCGATCACTACAGTTATGCGAAATGCGTGTTGTCGAGAAAGACTTTTGGTAAAAATCGAGTAATAAAGCTTATGTCAAGTAATACTTGGATGGCTTAATAACACATGGCGGTCGGTACTGATTTTTCGACGATTTCAGGAACAGTAGCTTGTTTTTCTAGAGTTGCTACTATGGACTCAACTCGAATATTTTAATTTAGAACCCACCAAAGTATAAATTTCCGGAAAAATTTGCATACAAAGTTAGTTCTTAGCGAAAATTGCAACTGAGGACGCTGCAAATAACCACGATGTCACGATGAAGGCAACTTTCCTGCTGGGAAAAACTTTTCTTAGTTTTACATGGATCATTATTTTGAGTGTTTTTTAACAGAGGCATGATCTTATGAACCTAGATCTGAAATAATTGAGTGGTATGCAAAACATCACGCCAATTACCGATTACTCTATTGAATAACTCAATATCGAGGAGTAAAGAATTAATGAATTGACGAGTTTCAAAAGAACATAAGTACACTAGCGATTTCTGAAGGGGCGCAACCGGACACCCTTCTATGAATCAGCTCTACTTGGACAAAAAAAAACTGATCTTGAATAACACTATGGAATTAGCTTTAAAAGTTAGGGAGTACTTAATCCGATTCTCCATATAAAGTTTGTCACTTTAAGACGTTAAGCCTGGATATACTCATGCATGATTTCGCAAGTTGTTCGAGAATGTCAGAATCGCCGATCTATTGAAAGCATCTACGAATGGCTTCACATCTTTTTCCGTGCTTAAATTTGTTCGGTCTTGATTTTTGGCCGTAAATGAGCAGTATAGAGTATGCACACAGACGACACATTTGAATACGAGTTTGCCAAATCTTTGCAAGAAAAAACGGTAGCAGGATGGTAATGAAGTTGTTTATTAGGAGCAAAGCCGCGATTCGATCATGCTCCACGCTCTCTTAAGTCTGCCTCGCCTGTGCGAATCAGAAAAGTGATACTGTACTCGACTGAAGTTAAGCTTATTCTTTCCAATTCATGGT